CACACACATACACACGTAATATTTATGCTCATTCCTAAAAGTGAAGTCTTAAAGATTTTTATAAAATGTAATGTATTCTACTTTGGAATGTGATTATGAAAAAAAATTTAAAAAGAGTAAAAATTTGGAAAATGAAGACATGGAGTACCTTTCTTTTATCCTATGTAAAGGCTGCATTGCTCTTTAATTTGGAATGGGGGCCAGCTGGTTCTCCTGGTTGAGACTTGGTTGATTTTTGTCTACTATTCTAGTCACTCATGCAGAGCCTACTACATAAAAATCACACACTAAATACTTATTAAATGAATGGAAAGTACACAAATTCCTTTGCCTTCAGGCATATGATAAAATTTTAAATCACAGTTTCAGTCAGTGCTAGGAAAAGTTGTGGATAAGAAAAGGCATATATTTTTTCTGTTCCTAAGTTCTTGTTTCAACCAAGAGTTGACGTTATTTATTATATGAAGTAGAGAGATGGTTACTAGCAAAGTTACCATGAAGAATAAAAAAGAAGCATGTAACTTAATGATCTCTATGATTAAAATGACACATTAGAACAGGCCCTTTGGGTTACAGATACATACTATATACTCAATGATGACTTTGTGCTTGTCCTTGTACATAATGACAATGGTGGCAATGACAAGAACTCAAAGACACTGGATTGGATGACACTGTAAATTTTATGATGTACTACTTTTTTGTTTGTTTATTTTTAATTCTAATTTGTTACATATACAGCAGAAGTCATTACAATTCATATATCACATATACAGCACAATTTTTCATAACTCTGGTTGTATAAAAAGTATATCCACACCATTCATGTCTTCATTCATGTAGTTAGGGTAATGATATCCATCTCATTCCACCATCTCTTTTATCCCCATCCCCCTTCCCTTTCCCTCCCAGCCCTTTGTCCTATCTAGAGTTCATCTAATTCTCCCATGCTCCCCCTACCAACCTGACTATGAATCAGCCTCCTAATATCAGAGAAAATATACTGCGTTTGGTTTTCTGGGATTGGCTAACATCACTTAACATTATATTCTCTAACTATCCATTTACCTGCAAATTCCATGATTTGACTCTCTTTTATTTCTGTGTAATATTCCACTGTGTATATATACCACATTTTCTTTATCCATTCATCTACTGAAGGGCAACTAGGTTGGTTCCACAGTTCAAATATTGTGAATTGTGCTACTGTAAACATTGATGTGGCTGTGTCCCTATAGTATGCTGCTTTTAAGTTCTTTGGGTATAAACCAAGGAGTGGGATAGCTGGGTCAAATGGTGGTTCGATTCCCAGCTTTCCAATGAATCTCCATATTGCTATCCATATTGGCTACACTAATTTGCAGTCCCACCAGCAATGTATGAGTGTGCCTTTTCCTCCATATCCTCGCCAACATTTATTGTTGTTTGTATTATTGATAACTGTCATTCTGACTGGAGTGAGATGAAATCTTAGAGTAGTTTTGATCTGCATTTCTCTAATTGCTAGAGCTGTTGAACATGTTTTCACATATTTGTTGATTGATTATATATATCATCTTCTGAGAGGTGTCTGCTCAGTTCCTTGGCCCATTTATTGATTAGGCTATTTGTTTTTTCGGTGTTTAGCTTTTTGTATTCTTTATATACCCTAGAGATTAGTGTTGTATCTGATGTGTGAGTGGTAAAAATTTGCTCCCAAGATGTAGGTTCTCTATTCACTTCACCTAAACACTAGAAAAACTAGGGATAATAGGAACATATTTCAACATCACAAAAGCTATGTATGCTAAGTCTCAGGCCAACATCATTCTAAATGGAGAAAAATTGAAAGCATTCCCTCTAAAAACTGGAACAATACAGGGATGCCCTCTTTCACCACTTCTACTAAACATAGTTCTTAAAACACTAGCCAGAGCAATTAGACATATAAAAGAAATTAAAGGGATGCGGATGGGAAGATAACTCAAATTAGCACTATTTGCTGACAATATGATTCTATATCTAGAAGAATTCCACCGGAAAACTTCTAGAACTAGTAAATGAATTCAGCAAAGTAGCAGGATACAAAATCAACACCCATAAACCAAAGGCATTTTTGTATATCAGTGACAAATCCTTAGAAAGGGAATGAGAAAAACTACCCCATTTACAATTGTCTCAAAACAAACAAACAAACTTGGGAATCAACCTAACGAAATAAGTGAAAGACTTCTCCAACAAAAACTACAGAATGCTATAGAAAGAAATTAAAGAAAACCTTAGAAGATGGAAAGATCTCTGTTGTTCCTTGATAGGCAGAATTAATATTGTCAAAATGACCATATTACCATAAACACTATACAGATTTAATGCAATTCCAATAAAAATCCCAATGACATTCCTCATAGAAATAGAAAAAGAAGTCATGAAATTCATCTGGAAAAATAAGAGACCCAGAATAGCTAAAGCAATCTTGAGCAAGAAGAGTGAAGCAGGTGGCATCACTATACCTGAATTAAACTATACCACAGAGCAATAGTAACAAAACCAACATGGTGTTGGCACCAAAATAGACTGGTAGACCAATGCTACAGAATAGAGGACACAGAGACTAACCCACACAATTACAGTTATATAAGACAAAGGCTCCAAAATCATACATTGTAGAAAAGAGGGCCTCTTCAACAAACGGTGCTGGGAAAACTGGAAATCCATATGCAACAAAATGAAATTAAACTCCTATATCTCGCTATGCACAAAACTCAACACAAGTGGATCAAAGACCTAAGAATTAAACCAGAGACACTGTGACTATTAAAAGAAAAAGTAGGCCGAAATCTCCATCATGTGGGATTAGGCCCCAAATTCCTTAATAAGATTCCTATAGTGCAAGAATTAAAATCAAGAATCAATAAATGGGATGGATTAAAACTAAAAAGCTTCTTCTCAGCAAAAGAAACAAATGAGTGACAGACTACTTTTGCTCAAATGACATTTTTCTTATTTACTGGCTATGAGAATTTTGAACCTTTTAATTCATTTCTTAACTTTTTAAGCACTTTTAATTATCTGATAGGAAAATTAGAGTATTTGTTACCTTCTTTTGGCACTTGAACTATTTTATCATTTTGAGCACTGAGAACAGTGCCTGGCACCTAATATAAGCATAGTATTTAGCTATTATTAAGCACCTATCATGCCCCAGACTTTGAAGTATATGAACAAGGCTGTGGAAAGCAAAACAAAATATAAAATTACTGTAAAAATTATATACAAAATCTTTGAGATTAGTGTGTAGATTCTAAATACAGTTGCCAAGTAAGTTGGTAGAATAAAGTGTGGGCTCTGAAGACTCACTGGCTTGTTCAAATCCAAGCTCCTTTCCATATCAATTCCATGACTGTTATCTTGGGAAAGTCAGAGGGGCTCCCTAGGATTGTGCTTCCTTATTTTCAGTAGTGTTTGCCTCACAGAATTGTTAAGATTAAATGTGATAGAAATGTTAAGAGTCTCACACATAAAATAGAGGCTCATATTTTATCAGAGTGGTAGAATAATATGGATTTTAAAATAAACCTTAATTTATATGAGACTAAAATGTCAGTGATTTGTAAATTACTACACCAATGAGATAAATTATTTTTAGCAACATACAAATTAGAATCGTATATTTTCTCTTCTTCCTTCATGATGCAATGAAATATGATGATTCAGCTTTTTCTGCAACACTGAGGGCAATTTGAAGAATTTAAGTTCATTAATTCTGACGAAATTAATTGCGCTTCATAATGTTTCTTTGTGGAAATTTCAGATGCATAGCCCTAGGGCTGTCAATAGTGGCCAAGTTGAAAACCAGATCCAAAAGATATTTCTAAACAATTCTCTTTTGGCCTCATTATGTTATATTCCATATAGACATATTACAACTCAATACACCACCTGACATTTTTTATGATGAAACACCTCATAATAGAAAAAAAGAATCATGCACTAGAAATCTGTTATCTGATGGAAATGACAAGGTGATAGGATTTTTTGCTTAAAGCAGGTAATTGGAAGATTCTACAGATAAAAACTGCCAAAAAATCAAAGTTCACCGCATACTGTGCAATTTGGTTTGGAAGTAACTTAAGACATCACACAGAGAATAAAATTATCATCTAACCGCATGAAATAGTGTCATTAAAGCACAGTAATTTCCTTCTAGGTAGTTTTATTATATATGGTGTGAATATTAATTTGTCCTGCTTTAAGTTAGGGACATAAATAGTTTTCAAATGAACAGTAGTTGTGTTATTATTCTGCCTTCAATAGTTTCTTCTTTACATTTTCTATTCCTTTTACTTCTCAGTATATAGATGTAAGCTATAATTATGACTTACCAAGTTATAAAATTTAGTAAGTTTCTCATCAATAACTTTTCTGAGACCAAAATTTATTTACTATTATGAGTGTCTTAGCTTGGATTGCTATAAGAAACTCTTTCCATAGACTAGAAGGTTTAAATGACAGACACGAATTTCTTATAGTTCTGGAGACCAGGAGTTTCAAGCTTGGGTGAAGTTCTCTTCCTGGGTTATAGAAAACAGCCTTGTTGCTGAGTCCTCACATAGGGGAAAGAAAAAAGAAACAGAAAGCAAGTCTCTCATCTCTTCTTAAAAGGGCACTAATATCCCAAGAACCCTTCTCTCATGACCTCATCTAATCTAATTACCTCTCAAAGTCCCAACCTCCTAATTCTATACAACTGAGGGAGTAGGCTTTCAACACAGGAATTGGGGGTTGGGGAGAACAAACATTCAGAACCAAACACTAAAAATGCAGTAATGCTTTCATGTTATTGTTTTGGTCTAAATTAACAGGCATGCAGATAAAGTTTTCAGTATATTTCAATACTATATTCAGATAAACATGTATTTATTAAGTCAGGTGTTTCTGAATTGGCAGGAAGCCATAAAGACAGGAACATTGTCCTAAAGTGTATCAGTTTGTTAATGAAAATCAATGCAAAGGAGTCTTACCTTTCGTGATAACTTTCCTGGAGCTTCCCTATTTTTCTGTAGCTGAAGCTGAATAACTGATTTATCTTTCTGAAACATTTTGTGGCTCCCCAAACAGTGATCACTGAAGAAGAAAAAAATGAACACAATCACATCCTCCTACAATACCCTCAAGTGTGTGTTTTCTTCCTTGTCTTCATTTCCTTTTTATTTTTGGAACTTATTCTGGTAAAGTCTGGTAAGAGTAACCTGAGAGTGTGTGTGTGTATGTATGTGTGTGAATGAATATAATGAGAGGAGATCATATATACATAGATTAAGTGTAGCAGCATATTGTAATTTTTTAAAATGCATTAATAAATTAGAAAATGATTAAATACACTTACGATGGTTACAGTAAGCTATAATAAAGAATAATTTACAAAATTATTTATGTAGCAATCTCAAAACTGAGGTCCACATGCTTCTGGAGGCCTCTAAGTGATGCCACAGTATCTATGTGTTGGACCATTGTATGAAGGGAGCAGAGTTGAGTAGTAGAAATTTGATGGCTTTGGAGATATGTAGACTAGCTCTGTGACCTTAGGCAGGCTAAGTGAACTAAAACTATCTGAAATTCAATACTATCCTCTTTGGGTTTGAGAAATTAATGTCTACATCAAAGGGTTGACAAGAAGATTAAGCAAAAAAAAAATCCCTTCATATTTCAGAATTTCTAATGGCGTAATTATATTTTCTTTTCCTCTCTGTTTTTTGCCCCTAAATATTTGCCAAGCCCAAACTGCATAGTGATCACAGCAAATGGCTCTTTTGAAACATACCATTTTAAACAAAGTCTGAAGGATTTTTCTGTGAAATGAAAGGCTTTTGCTGGGTAGTCTCCTTTATTGCTTTCAACTTTTACATCTCCAACCCTTGTTATTCAGAAAAATTTGTTTTGTAAATGTATTTTATTCAAAGTATCTTGGCTAAATATGAGAAGGATTTCAGGAGAAAAAAATATCATACTGGAAGTTTGGGATCCTTAAAGTAATAATTTACTAAATATGTGGAACTCTTATGCCTAGCACAGTAACACAAATTAGAGTATTATTTGGTTAATATCCACTGTTATATTTAAATATTTAAATTATTTTGACAGTTTTTATTCTTAATACCTAACTTCTATATTACTATAGATTATATTAAATATATTGTTTTAGTGATCTAGAACTACACTGGCCAGCATAGAAGCTATTTAGACACATGTGACTACAGATCAATTGCACTGAGGCTAGTCTGAATTAACATGTACTAAAAGTGTAAATTACTCACTGGATTTTGAAGATTCATCACAAATAATAGTGTGAAACATCTCAAAAACTTCATTTAATTACATATTGAAAGAATATTTCAGCCATATTGAGTTAAATAATAAATTAAGTATATTGTGGCTTGTTTCTTTTTCTATTTCTTATTATGGCTAGTAGAAAATTTAAAACTAATAGGTAACCCACATAACAGGTCCGTTGAATTGTACAATGCAAGAGAAAATTAAAATGAAGAAAAAAAAAAGCATTAAAGACGAGATAGGAGGGTGGTATGATGTCTAATTTAATGAGAAAATGGAGAAAAATATATTTGTGTTTAAGGAGGTGTGTTAGTCAGCTTTTTGAAGCTGTGACCAAAATACCTGACATCAACAACTTAAAGGAGGAAAGATTTGTTTTGTTTCATGATTTCAAAGGTTTCAGTCCATGGTTGGCTGGTCCCATTGCTTTGGGCCTGAGGAGAGGCAGAATATCATGACAAATGGGTGTGGCAGAGGAAAGCTGCTCAGCTTATAGCAACCAGAGAGCAGAGAAAGAGAAAGAGGAAGGACCTAAGGACAAGATATGGTCGATATGGTCTCTAAGAGCATACCCATTCCTCCAACCATGACTCACCTGCCTGCTGTTTCTACCACCTTTTAGTAGTCCATTCAAATTATTAATCCACCAAATGGATTGTTATGGTTTGGATATAAGGTGTTATCCCCCAAGATCCTGTGTTAATGCACTAATATTCAGGGGTAAATGTTTAGATTATGACAGGTATGACCTAATCAGTCCATTCTAGTTTGAATGGACTGAATTTGTGGCACCCAAAGGCAGGTAGTGTGTGGTGGCAGGGGATAGGTCACTAGAGGCATGCCCTGGAAAGATTTGTCTTCCTTGCAGTCACTTCCCCTTACTCTCTTTGCTGCCTGGCTGCCCTGAGATAAACAGAAACTCCTCTGCCATGACCTTCTGCTATGATGTTCTACCTCTCTTATGGGCCAGAGCAATGGAGACAGTTAATCATGGAGTAAATCTCTGAAACCAGGGGCCAAAATATACTTTCCATCCTCTAAGTTTTCTTGTCAGCTATTTCATTCACAGCAACAAAAAGCTTACATATGGATTCATCCACTAATGAGGTTAGATACCTCACGATCCAATCATTTCCTTAAAGCCCCATCTCTGAACATTATTGCACTGGAGACCATGCTTTCAATACACGAGACTTTGGGTAACATTCCAGATCCAAAGCATAACAGAAATCTAGGTCTCAAAGGGGATAGTAGGAAAGGATACAATATCAAGACAAAGAAATGCAAAGCTTGGCAGTGTGGGAAGATGGGTTTGAACACATGTGGTTTTATACACTTATGAAATGAACACTGGAACTATATAGTTCAGATTGTACACTCAGATTTCAAGTCAGTGTGCTCAGTATGTTTTCTTTGATAATCATGTGTAAAATTAAACTGTTCAATAAACTGAATCTATGATGCAATCAAAAGTTGAGGTTTAGGTTTTTTTCTTAATATATACTTGCACATCAAGATTTCTGTACATTTATTATTCTCTCAACAAATATTTTATTCCAACTCTGCTATTTACTATCTTAGGAACTGTTATGAGTATACTTATCATTAAAGATGAACACTAAAAGGGTGCTTATACATAATTGTCTCTATTTCCTATTCATATATTACTCATGCTATTTAAAAGTATTTCTTTGGCAATATGTTATATAAAGAGAGATTGATAGTCTTAACACACACACACAAACACAAAAACAGAAATGCAAATACATCTGTCTTAAAGTGAAAAAAAAAACTTTCTAGATAATACCCAATCTATGAATATTGATTCTCACCACCCTAGGCACTCCTCTAAACACAAATTTATGAGCAGGCTTTTTCACTGGAATAAATATATATCCTCATTTCATAGGATAACAGGGTCAAATGTTCTTCATTTATATGTAAGGAGTAGCCACAGAGGTATGTAGTGAAATATTAATGTCATGTATAGAAAAAGACTATTGTAATTTGACTGTAAGAATATTGAGAACCAGAATGTCTGACAGCTTTTTAAGATTTTTTAAAGAAAATTCAGTAATTATGTGAGACTTTAACACTTATTAAAACTAGGTCAGAAATACAGGTAAGGGGGGTTGCGGGTGCCAGTGGTAGACCTCTTGCCTGACATGCATGAGGGAGGGAGGGAGAGAGAGAGAGAGAGAGAGAGAGAGAGAGAGAGAGAGAGAGAGAGAGATTGTGAATCAGAAAGAGAGAGATTGATTGTGAGACTGAAAGAGAGAGATTGATTGTGAGAGAGGAGAGGACAAGAGAGGAAAGGAGAAGAGAGGAGAGAAGAAAAAGGAAAAGAAAGGAAAGAAAAGGAAAGGGGAAAAGAGAAAAGAAATAAACAAATATAACAAAATGGTAATGCTAGTATAGTACTTTACAGGGCATTTTTTTAAGTGGTATGTGCACACTTATGCATACAGGCATACATATATTCATTTGGCATTTGCTACTTTAAAATTTCTGTGATGATACATCTATAATATCATTTTTTAAGAGAGAGAGAGAATTTTTTAATATTTATTTTTTAGTTTTCAGTGGACACAACATCTTTATTTTATTTTTATATGGTGCTGAGGATCAAACCCAGTGCCCCGCGCATGCCAGGCGAGTGGCGCTACCGCTTGAGCCACAACCCACAGCCCCAATAATATCTTTTAATTCTAGTAAGCTGCTCTTTGTAACAAATAAAACAGTCCCATATTTTATGCTCAAAGTGGTATTTGGAGTTGTCTCAGCACAGATAAAGATTAGTGGTATGTGGTTTCTGATGCCAAAACTACTCAAGTTTATTGTTATTTTGCTTTCAGGGGAACAATGGATAGGAAAAGTTAAACTTCATTACTTGGAGAGACAGAAAGAAGTTGAATTATAAATCCAGGGCTTGTAGTTAGTAGAGATGGGTAATGCTCTTGAACAGAGACCATCTATGACATCAACAGTTATTATTCAAGAGGCAACTGGACCAAGGAGTTCTAAACCTTTCCTCTCAAATGCTTCGTTTTTCTTAAAGCAGCCTATAAAAGGCAATAAACAATCATGCTTCCTCACTTAATATGGTTATATTCCTTTTTACATAGAACACATATATTTTTAATTTGAAAATAAGATTAAATTGAATATACGAATGAAAGAGGTTTTCTTAATGCCAGAAGAAATGTTTTATAGCAAGTCTCAAGTTTGCAATGCCTTTTCTATGACTCCATGCAGTCAAAGCAATTAAGTAAGTAGTAGCACAATAATCTATATAAATGAAGTTAACTAAGACAGAATCAGTAAGAAAAACTCAACAGAGATGCTGGAACCCTGCATCCTCTGAAAAAAATAAGTCCTGAACTCTAAGAAGCTCTTTTTGGGTATGATATGAAAAAAAATGTAATAATGATACCAACACAGGAAATTAGAAATAGAAATTTTATTCCATCTCAAGGTTTCATTATCTTTCCTATAAGCACTCCAGAGGAGAAATATTCCACAACCTTACAGATGGTGGAATGCGATCATCATCATTACCCTAAGTACATATATAAAGGATACGAAGGATATGACTCTACTTTGTGTACAACCAGAGATATGAAAAATTGTGCTCTATATGTATAAGTTGTAAAGCATTCTGTTGTCATATATAACAAATTAAAATTTAAAAAATATTTAAAAAGGAACAGAATAAAATGGCATATTTCAGCTTATTAAGATGATATTGGTTAATTTTAAATAATATGTAACTCAAAAATTCTTTAGCTAAATTT